AAAAAAAAAGGAACTGGACTGATGCTCCCCAGAATGGACATGGAGCCAGGACCATAAGGACCTGTTTTTTTTTGGTTTTCTTCTTCTTCAGAAATATAAAAAAGAGGCCTTGGACCATTTCTCGATTTATGCGTGTCATCCTTGCACAAGGGTCATGCAAGTCTTCTCTGTATTGTTGCAGGACAAAAAAAAGAGGCTGACTGAACATGCAATCACAGAACAATCTCGCGGGGGTGAGTCCACTGCAGGGCTGCAGAACTGGAGTCTAGAGGCAAATAGATCAAGGATTACTTGAACGGTCCAACCAGCTGTTCTGTACGTAGCCTTTCGAAATGAAAAAAAAAGAAAAAAAATCAGGTTCCATATGGCCTGGCTCCTTATGAATTCTGAGGAGCATCAGTCGAGTTACTATTCCCCCGGCAAGTCAGAGCGTAGCCCCTTTTTATAATTTTTTTTTTTTTTTTTTTTTTTTTTTTTTTTTTTTAAAGCGTAGCCCTTTTGAAAAGAACAAGGAAAAGAAACTCAGACTGCCTCATGCAGCCTACAGAGCTAAGGCAGCCTCAAAGCCATAGGTCTTCCCATACCTGCTAGGACTCCACAAGAAGCGGCTCCTGGTGCCAACCGGGCCCAGAGTCCCATGCATATACAAGTTGCGAATAATAAACCCTGAAACAACTTAAACTTTAACCTTTGAGGGATCAAGGCCAGACGGGGGCGCAGTGCTACCGGGAGCGCTGCGCCCCGGCACCAACCACGGCAGCGGAGTGAGGCGGTTCTGGCGCGCTCAAACGGACGAAGTGGTGCATGGCGATGGCGAGACAGAAGAGCTGGTGGGGTAACGGAGGAGTTGCTGGGCTGGGTATCGAGCTTAGGGTAGCTGCTTACTAGGCGTTTTGCGCACGCGCGGGGAGCGAAGGTGCTTGTCTATACCGTATCACAGGTTGATAGGGATAATAGACTGACTCCCGGGGGCTTTCTGGGAGTTCCGCGTTCATACTCCATTGCTGCTGCGTTTTTGCCCATGGCATAGAGCCTGTGAGGTGTCGTCTCTGGGGATGCCTGTGGAGTTCAGCAGAGTGAGCCTTGCGTGACCCGAAGTGCGAGTGGAGTAGCTACCTGTCATCATCAGTGTCCTCGTCCATCGGCATCAGGGAGGCTCGTCACCATGGTAAAGGTTTTGTTATCATCATCAGGGCTGTTCGTCATCGCCATCAGGGTGCTGCTCTTCATCATCATCAAGGCGGTAACAGGACTCGCGTGCAGCTTGTTAGCAACATCTCGTCACTGGTATTAGAAACAAGGTACGTGACAGCACCGTCATGTTGGGGCTGTGGTCTTTACCATCATCACTATTGCAGCCGCTCGCTGGCATCGTCATCAGTGTTGCCCTCATCAACGTTTTACTATTTTAGGGGYGYTGTTYTATCCCTATTATTATCATCACCAGTGCATCATCACARGWGCACGTTATTAGCAATATCATCATCCTTATCATACAGCGCGCGCTGGAAAACTRCACGCAGCAAGGAAAACAGCGYGCRCRCGCTCGACGATTGCGCGCGATTGGGCRCGCRCCCTGACCTGAAAATTGGACCACCGGTGGTCTATGTCGAGGAGCTGARGTGGTCCAAATTTCAGATCAAAYGGTCCAGTGGATCATGAGATATYGAARATTCAGGGTGCGCCATGAAATTYGAGTATGTCGRGCGRTGTGGACGAYGGGGTTTAGTCATTACTATAGTGATTTTCACCATCTGTAGTATCACGATCATCAACACTGTTATCCTCATAGCTATCATCTGTTGTATCACGATCATCAMCACTATCATCCTCACAGCTACCATYTGTMGGCGATGTTGATCGCCACCACTATCTTTAGGCTRCCGATTCACTCAAATARTCATCKATAWCATTTCGATCATTATCACTACCATCATCAATATTAATATCAATCTGAAAACCTTTTAGTCTCAGGGTACTGTTTTCGGCTACCCAATTATCCAATAGTCATAAATATTTACATCCTGATTAGCTATATCTTGATTACCTACATCTAGATTACCTATATCTTGATTACCTATATCCCGACTACCTATATCTCGATCACCTATTTCTTGATTGCTTACTTCTTGATTACGACTATTTGTAGCAGAAATTCAGACATAACGTTTTCATGTTGGGATTGTTTAGCAATTTCGCCACTGGGTTTTGCCCTGCATGTTCCCCCTTTGTTTCATTTTTTTCATGAGTTTTTGCAGACGATGTAGAGGGGATTGGACTTCGGAGGTTATGGCTGGAACTTTGGTAGGCAGGGGGCTTTTTGAGACTCCAGGGTACAGATATACGGTAGTTACCCACGGCAGGTCTGAGATCCACCTGGCCTAAGTTAGGGGACACGCCAGGGGAAGGACGGTAGGAATGTTAGCCTGGGCTCCACCTGGCCTTGGGTAAGCTAGGGGAAGGAGAGATAGGGCTGGCCAGTTGTGGGTATAGACTACTAGTTATCTGTCCCCAAAAAATTAACCCTGGGGTCTGTTATAGGGGAGCCTTATTCTACAGGGGTGTTGCATGGTGGGAGGCAGTAGCCCTATTGGGAGTAGGGCAGATTGGGGATTGTCTGAGTCTGGGGCCGGGGTTGGAGAGTTGGTCGCCTTCAACCCCAGCGGGGGTAGATAGGGACAAGGGGTGGTGCAAAGGCGGCCTCTCGGAGGGGATTGGTTGCCGTTGCGGAGGTGGTGGTGGGAGGGGAGGGGATCTGTTTTATGTTGGGGCCGAGGGATTTCCCTCAGTGGAGGCAGCATGAGACAAGGTATAGTGGGTAGGGATTGGTTTGAGTTGTGACCAATGGAAGCGTATCCTTTTTACGGCGTCGTCAAAAAAGATCTGATGACATTTTCTCAATTCCTTGATTGGACTCCAATTATCTTCTCTCTCTTTGAACTATGTGGTGGAGGAGGTCGGTTCGTCGAAAGGAGATGGAAAATTGAAGTCCATTCTTAACCATATGGGTTTTGGAGAGGTTGATTGTCTGCTGTTTCTTATCTTCCGAACTATGTGGTGGAGGAGGTCGGCTCGTTGGGAGATGAGGAAGAGCAGGGGGTTGCTAGGCATAGCAGGCAGAAAGCTAATTGTTCTCAGACTTGTTCAGAATTTGTTTCTGAACGGATTACTTTCTTCTCCCCCTTCGAACTATGTGGTGGAGGAGGTCGGCTCGTCGAAGGGAGATGGAAAGTTGAAGTCCTAATTCAAACAAAAAAACGTAGTTCTAATTAGATTTTCCTAGTAAAAAAAAAAAAAGGGTAACCCTTAGTTTTTACTTACATCCGGGGTATAGGAGTTCAGAGAGGGTCACACTCGGATCGACATCCACAGAGCTGTTCTGTTTTGTGCCCCTGTTTTGCCGATGCCAGAACGACGCTGGCCGGAGCTGGGGCGTTGCCCTGTAACCTGCAATTTGCAGGAGTACGAGGTCTTGTAGAGAGATCTGGGTTTTGCCGAGGGAGGAAGGCAATTCAGTGGTGAACTGGGGGGGGCTACTTAGTGGCGAGAAGAGATCAGATATGGGTGACGTTGGTCTGGTTGGTACTGTTCTTGAGTAAGTATACCCCGGTGCAAGGATGGCTAGGAGTTATCTTAGGTTCAGGAGTCTAGAATAGCTGACATAGTCTTTCATAAATTCATAATCATTACCAGTAGTATCATGATCATTTCCATCAACACATGAGGGATGATGAGCCCGGTTCTCAGCAACTTTCGGATTCGGTTACTCCGGGTAGACTGTGAGGACCCCGGCCTCAAAACATTCCTTGTTGATAATATCAGCCTTGGGCACTGGGCCCCTATTCTTCTTCTTCAAAAAAAATAAAAAAATAAAAAAGGGATCAAGGCCAGACCTCTTCCTCATCGACGGGAGCGGCCAAACCATTCCTTTCTTCCTATTCTGTTTCTGGCTTGTCTATTCTGCTCGGCAGAATGTCTGTGGCATCCCAGGGACTGAAATTTGGGGAGAAACGAGAAAGGTAGTGGGCAAGAGCCTCAGTGATGATGAGCAGGCAGTAAATGGAGACTGAACTGACTGGTGACTGAATAATGAAGGGACTCAACGATCACCATCATCATCATCATCATCATGAACCAGCAATGAACTCACAATGAATCGACAGTGGACTGACAATAAACTCACAATGAATAGACAGTGCACTGACAATGAACTCACAATGTATAGACACTGCACTGACAACAAAGAACAATGATTAGACAGTGAAATGTCGGAGGAACCACCAATGTATGGATAGCGCGTTGAAAGGATCACAAACTGACACTGACAATGAATGGAGAATGGATACACTGATGATCATGATGATGATGGTGTTGATGATCGGCCGCAAGAAACGGACAGTTGCATGGAAAGTGAACTGACGATGACAGGACAATGAACAGACGGTGACACGTGAACTAACGCACAGCGGATGAACAGACAATAT